ACGAGTCTTTATAATAGAATCAGATTGTAATAACTAGGAAATATCTAGGTAACACGTATCCAAGCGGTATATTGAATTTTGAAGCCTCTAATCGTCGTTGGAAAGAAAATCTCTTTAACTATGACAAGAAACTCTGACAACGGCATATTGGATCGTATAATATTCTTCTGCTATTTATACTCGTTTCTTTATTACACCTTTCTTCAAATGAAAAATTAACGCAGCGTGCGTTTATTAGATATATAAATTATGATAAATTATGACATTTTATTGTTCGATAAAAAACAGGTGATAAATTAATAAATTAATACTCTTTTAAAAATAATTTAATTTACACGCATATTACAAACATTTAATTTTTAAAATAATTAAACACTTTTACACTTTTAATTAGAAATATTATTTTTATATCTGAATCTATGATAAGTTAAAGATACGCGTTGATATTATCTAATATTCTTATATTGCTAAAAATAAATATACTTATCTATTTTTCTCTCAACAAAATTCCCCGATATTTAAGTTCCAAATTAGTATTTACGAACGTTGTTTTACGAATAAATTTACCTAACTCGAAAATTCTGATTTTAATGAAAGTGTACATAGAATATAATTTTCTTGTTTACGAGAAATCTCTTCCAAGAAGTGAAATCAATCTTAAAGCAAAGTTGTTCAAATATTTTTCATACAATTTTTTAATACAATTTCATTACAAATACAATTCTGGAAAATTGTTCTACGCCACACACATTTTCTAAACATTTTTCTAATTTAAAATTTTGTTTTATCCGATACCGTTACAAAATTACGTTAAAAAAAGAAAACATTTTTTATTCCAACGAAAATTCATTGAAATCGTTTCATCTCATTCCCTTAAAACAACATCTCGATAAAAAAAGAAACGTACCATCCCCGCTTTGAAAAAAATCACAGTCATTTCGTTCGAAGAATAACAAAGCTCGAAACCACTGTCGTGAATCATTGATTGAATCAAGGAGAGAAAACGTGTAAAATTTAATAAAAATAAACAAGGATAGGTGATCGTTATTTAACTCGCCGCCATTCAATACCCATCTATAATTATCCTTAATTTATCCGTGAATTTTTTAAATCAAACAATTAATCGAACAAGAATGGATAAATAAATCTTCTCGCTCGATTATTACTCTTTTCTCAATTTCTATCCAATCGTTAAAAAGTGTTAACCGAGTTTAAAAGTTGTTGTTGAAACAAGTGGTAAGTAATTATTAAATTCAAATACGAAACGAGTAATAAAAATATCGCGGTTAACTTCTCGGTGCTGTCGCTTTTCACCTTTTACTTTCGCGTCGTTTATTTCTTTTTCTTTTTCTTTTTCTTTTTCTTTTTCTTCTCGGTCAAAAGGATACGGAAGACAGTTTGCAACATTGCGTTGGCAAATTTGCGTCGGCAGAAAGAAAAAAAAAAACGCGCCAATTCTGGTTACATGAGGTAAACGTGAAACGGATGGAAAAACAATTCTCGTCAATTTTCACTGGTAGAAGAGCAAGTCTTTCGCTTGAACGAAATGTGGGTCATAAGTAGGTAGAGAGCCTACTCCGTCGAACGTATTCTCTACAAAGAGCGAAAAAAAGAGAGGCGGAGAAACAATCCTGGAATTTTTTTTCCTTTCTTTTTCTTTTTTCTTTAAAAATTTAAAAATTATACCAACAATTATTACACCTGCGAGATATATTTCTTTAAGAAATATCGATACGATTGGAAAATATTTATGAAGAAAGTTATCTTGATATTAAATATCTGTATCAAAATAACGTAAGATTTTTAATAGCGCGAAACGATAAATTTCATCTTCTGCGAACGAGATGATTATTTTAATTAATGAAAGAACGAGATTACAAATTAAAAAACTCGAATAACAGATATAAGGAAAAACATGCGTTATACGGAGAAAATTTTATCACTTATAATGCTGAACTTTTAATTGTTACTTAATTTGATCTTATTTAATCGAGTTTGATACATTCTTGCCACATTCGTCCGCAAAGAGTTAAACATAACGTATGTATATATATATACGATCCAATCTAATACACTAATATAATCCAATAACTTCGATAGACGACTGCAAAAATAACATAACACAAAAGATACAGGCGAAGTGAAAGCATAAATCACGATAAAAAATCTTGTATATTTCTATCAAACGTAAGAACATTTCAGACACTTTTCTGGAAAACGTAAGAATTAAATCGTTTCTCACAATATTCTTTTTTTCTTTTTTCCTTTTTTCTTTTGTTCTCCGATATACGCACGTCTCGAAATTCTCGCTTTCGTATCACGTATCTTTCTCTTCTCTTGAAGAACCTTGACACAGTTTCTGTCCGTCAACCCAAATAATAGCGACGAGTTCGTTAATTCATGATCGTAATGCTGTTAGATTGAATCCGTGACTCGTTCACGGATACACAACACGTATCATTGAGGATACCTGAATGAACGACCTTGTAGATTTCGCACAGATACCGTGCACGACATTGAAACAGTTGATTGGAAGTTACCGAGCGAAAGCCTACGCGCGTTCCAAGTTTCTCTTGAATGCTAATTGTCGACTTAAAAACGGATGGCACCTTGGACGGCCGTCGTGCGGCTTAATAAAAACATCATTTCGACGTTTGGATATCCGTTCGATTGAATTTGTCAAAAAGTCATGGCTAATGCAATTGTGTCGAAAAAAAAAAATTTTTGTTATTCAAATTACACGAACACACGTATCTGATTACTTTTAACGTGACGTTATATTGGGAATATATATTTAACGTGTTAGATAAAGTATGCGGTAAAATAAAAGAAAAAAAAGTATTATTACCATCCATTACGAGTCATTGTAAATATTTAATTAATATTCATATTTGTCCTCATTATCATTATCTTCATCTTCATTTCCTCGTCCATTATAAATATGAAATATATATTATAAGAATATTAATTTATTTTTATATGTTTTAAATGACAAAAACTATTATTTTTCTTCGAAAATATAATTATTTAAATATCTTATATCTTATTATTTCGTGGAATTGACGATATTAAAGAGATTGTATAGCCTGGTCGAAACCAATAATGGCGACTAAAGTATACTAAAAAGATAAAGATCAGTTTCTTCTATTTTTTTTTTTTTTTATCAGATAATTTTATTTTAAGATATTGTTTATCAAAAAGAAACACTTCACGAATAATTTAAGAAGAAGAAATTAGATTACAAATTTCTTACCTATACACATTGTATTTGTTAATAAGAATTAGTTAATGACACGTTATAAAACACAAAGTAGATAAATAGTTTTTAACAATAAAACTTGAAGATTTATCGCACTTAATAATGGCACACTGTCTAAATACAATGATTAAAGTTTATTGTTTGCTTTCTCTCGTAAAACTGACTTTTACTTCGCAAGTTGATTCTCAACGGGTAAAAACAAAAAAGGTAAAATGTAAAAATGAAATATTTTCGAGTTGGACAAAATAATCTTTGCTCGTAAAAAAGATTCACCGATATTTTTACATTAAAAATGCTCCACTTATCCGTCGAAAGAAATATAAGACGAGAAATCACAACAGTATGAAAATTGCTACTGGGTTAATTCCATTCGATTTTTCAATTTTTCGTGCATAATAGTGCAACGTGACGAGGAATAGCGAAAGCTTCAATTGTAAATTACTTTTAATTAAAAACTGCGATTTAAACGCGATTGTATTCGTAGAAGATTTGGTTATTCAACGAAACTCGTTATTTTGAAAATTGCAAGTTGTATCGATTCTCTCCAACGCGAATTTTTGTAAGAGAAGTGTCGTAAAAAAATTTAGAAGTGAAAAAAAATGTTTAGGAGAAAAACACTCGAAGTTCCACGAAAGATAACATAGTTCAAGAATTGCTCAAGATGTAACCTCAATGTTTAAAATCACACATGATATACATTATGCATGAAGATATTTAAGAGTTGGTTGGAAATTAAAAGAAGAGACGAATGTATTGAACGTCAAGTTCTTTTGTAGTTATATTCATTCATATCTTTAATATTTCTCTCTTTTTATTTTTTTTTATATCCAATGTTCATTCCGCTCTTGGAACATCCTTTTATACGCGAAGGTCGTTTCTAAAAATATTAACATTTTCTTGGAGCAATTTTTAAAGCTTGAAAAAATTATTCCAAGAAAACGTATTTGAGAAATTTACGAGGACAAGGATTATCGAGGAAAAATTTTATCAATTTTATTCTATTATAGGCGATACAAATTTTATTAGATTCGAATTAAATATCGTAAAATAAAAAAAAAAAAAAAAAAGTTTAATCTAATCATGGTTTAACTCAATCAAAGATAGAAGATGTTATTAGGTAGAAATAATGAAAAAAATGTGAACGAAAAATATAGTTTGTTTAATCCGTTAAACAGTTACCAGATGTTTGCCGCATTTAGTATCACTAGTCGCTAAACAACCACTCATCCAATTAGACCTCGCACTTAATTCGAACCACGTCATAAAGAACGTCATAAAGGAAAAGTGAAACTAAAAATGACTTCCTCTACCTTCTACAAAAGTCAAATTTCAAAAATAAATACATTCATAAAAATGATATAAATTTTCCCTATGATATTCAAATACATATGTACAATATTCAAAATTCCAAAAAATATTTCAAAAAAATAATCTACATGGACAAGCATTTTTCCAATTTCGAAACAGAATGTGAATGGGATTTAATCATCATCATTTAGTCAATTTAGGAACCCGGAGTATGTCGAAATGATTACTCGATTATAACCTATAATACAAATATAATAAAATTTCAAAAAAAAAAAAAATAATTTATAGATAACTTTAATCTTTTTTTAATTTCAGAACGTGAAAATGGAATTTAGTCATCGGGAATTCAAAGTATGTAGAAATGACTCGGTCATAACCTCGATATTTTTCGATATAAAGCATAAATATATATTCAAAAAAAATAATAATAATAATTCGTAGATAATTATATCTTTAATTAAATCTTATTCTAACTAATTAAATCTTTTTCCAATATATCGAAACAGAAAACGTGAAACAAAATTTCGTTCATCGACACAAATTCGAAACTTGTCTATATTCGAAACGATCACTAGATCCATAAATCAATCTCTCAATCTTTTACAATACAAAATACATATATATACATATTCAAAATTCGAAAAATCCAATTCGAAAAAATAATCCAATTATTAATCTTTTTTTTTTTTTTTTCGAAATTTCGAAACAGAACGTGAAATGGAATTTAATCATC